TGCCACGTGTGTTCCTATGCAACAATTTTGCATGTTCTTCACATGTATCCCAAAACCTAAAATGCAATAAAATAAATAAATGGGAAAAAAAAAAAACTAGCATTTTGTCTTTCAGCTCCTGTATCATTTCATCATATTTCTTAGAAACCTTGGATTGAATTTTGAGCTTCTCATGAATGTCGATGGTCTTATTCATATTCAAAAATATATGTTTGTCATTTCAGCAATTTCAGCCTGGGTAAGAACCACTGCTGTAAAACTAGTGCAATTGTTTGGAGGTAAAAAGGCACTCCAGCTTTTTGAGTTTCTGAAGATTTTGGACTACCTCTTTTTTATCTGTGTCGTCTAATATTCCTTCAGTCTTTGAAGTTGCTGTTCTTTGGTTCTTTTTTTCTTTTCTCTTCTTTGATGTCCTTGAGGGTTTTATTGTGGTATGAGAAGGGTTTATTTGGCTGTCTTCATTTCTGGTAGACTTTGGGGGAAGGGAAAGACTAAGCCCATATCAGGCTTCTGACTTTATTTTCTGGCCCCTTGAGATTAGGAACGTGCTTCACTGGTGGGACTGAGGTCTTCCTGGATTACTGGCCACAACACTCTGTAGGGTTTTGCCAGCCGAAGCACTTCTGTTGGTTGCAGCAGTGAGAACAGTGATCATTTGCACTATAGCAGCAGCAGGAGTACAGTGAATTCATGCTCCTCAGCTTGTCAGCGTGCTCATGATCTTGGGGCTGCCAGACTCTGTGCCAGTATTGGCAGCAATGGCAGAGGCAGTGTTCGGAGGTAGGAAGAAAAGAATCAGGGCCTCTTGGGTCCATGCATACCTTGCTACCTGTGGCAGTGTTAGTGCAGAGGCGGGGTGCTGGCAGACGCTGGGCAGGCAATCACTGTTCATGATAATACTAGCAGAGGTGACTGTTCAGGGCGGGGGGCAGGGATGGTGGTGTCTGTGCACATGATTTCACCGGCAATGGTGGCGTGGTGGCACGGCAGCAGGGGTGATGGCAGTATTCACCTTGGTAACAATGCCTAGGAGGGTTGCACATAAACCCACATGCCAACAGGGAAGGTGAGGCAAGATTTGCTTATGCACATCTGTGCAAGGTGATGGTGGAATGATTGTGGGCAAGTGTGTGCTGGCAAAGTGGCACAGGATGGGCTGTGCTTGGGGGGAGGGTGCTGATGGGCTGGTGCTTGTCAGTGGAGGCCACTCTGCTAAAACTCCCCAAAGATCAGGTATAATCTGCTAGTGCAGAAACTATAATGCAGGTCCCCAGGAAGCACCCTGGTTGGGTATACTGGAATGCACTACAAGCAGGCATGGGCAGGCTGGGGACCCAGGAGAGGCTAGTGAACTGAACCGTGCTCACGTTGGACTGTCTGCATAGCATGGGCAAGACTGCTCTGCTCTGTTTGGGTGTAACAGTTCCCCTATGGGTAGAGTCTCCCAGGGGAGGAAGGGTAGCCTTGGGTGATGCACTTCCCTGATCATGCTCCCCTGCAAATTTTCTGACACCAAATCCCCTGAGTTCTACACATGCTGGAGTCTTGCCCCTGCTATCTCTCTAGGTAGCTCTCCCTGATATTTCAAGTGTCGCTAGCAGTCATGGGGTCTCATGCGGCCTGGATTCCAGAGGCCTGTGGCAATAGCGGCTCACTCCTCACCTGCTCAACTTACTGCTTCCCCAGTGGTCACTGGAAGCCAGGAATAAGTACCAGAGGTTGGTAGCCCTGTGCAGAGTACCCAACTTCCTCTTCCTTCAGCCCATCATCTACGTCCTCCTTCTGTCCACTATTAACTGCTTCCTTCCAGTGAGCTGCTAAAAGTGCACTTGTCTTCCCAGTATCTCGGTAGCTTGGTGGCAGATGTTCCTTCTAGCTGCCTGTAGTAAGCCATCTTGTCTCCATAGTTGTTTAACTTCAAAATATATTCAAAATATTTTTTGAATGATGTTTTATGCTCTTAAAATGTTTAGCTTTTTTTAAAATTTTGCTTTAAGTTCTGGGATACATGTGCAGAATGTGCAGGTTTGTTACATAGGTATAAATGTGCCATGGTGGTTTGCTGCACCTATCAACCCGTCATCTAAGGTTTAAGCTCCACATGCAGTAAATATTTGTCCTAATACTCTCCCTCCCCTTCCTCCTTACCCCCTGAAAGGCCCCGGTGTGTGATGTTTCTTTCCCTTTGCCCATGTGTTCTTATTGCTTAACTCCCACTTATAACTGAGAACATAGGGTGTTTAGTTTTCTGACCCTGTGTTAGTTTTCTGAGAATGATGGCTTCTAGCTTCATCTATGTCCCTGCAAAAGACATGAACTCATTCTTTTTAATGGCTGCATAGTATTCCATGGTGTATATATGCCACATTTTCTTTATCCAGTATATATATATATTTATATATATATATACTGGATATATATATATATATATATATATATATATATATATATAATTTTAGGTTCTGGGGTATATGTGCAGACCTTGCAGGATTGTTACGTAGGTATATACATGCCATGGTGGTTTGCTGCCCCCATCCCCCTGTCACCTACATTAGGTATTTCTTCTAATGTTATCTCTCCCCTATGTCCCCACCACCTGCCATCCCTCCCTTAGCCCTCAACCCCCTAAAACACCCCAGTGTATGACATTCTTCTCCCTCTGTCCATGTGCTCTCATTGTTCAACACCCACTTATGAGTGAGAACATGTGGTGTTTGGTTTTCTGTTTTTGTGCCAGTTTGCTGAGAATAATGGTTTCCAGATTCATGCATGTCCCTGCAAAGGATATGAACTCATCCTTTTTTATGGCTGCATAGTATTCCGTGCTGTATATGTGCCACGTTTTCTTTATCCAGTCTATCGTCGATGGGCATTTGGGTTGGTTCCAGGTCTTTGCTATTGTAAACTGTGCCACAATGAACATACATGGGTATGTGTTTTTATAATAGATCGATTGATAATCCTTTGGGTATATACCGAGTATTGGGATTGCTGGGTCAAATGGTATTTCTAGTTCTAGATTCTTGAGGAACTGCCACACTCTCCTCCACAATGGTTGAACTAATTTACACTCCAACAACAGTTAAAAACACTACTATTTCTCCACATCCTCTCCAGCATCTGTTGTCTCCAGATTTTTTGATGATTGCCATTCTAACTGGCATGAGATGGTATCTCAATGTAGTTTTGATTTGCATTTCTCTAAAGACTAGTGATGATGAACATTTTTTCATATGTTTGCTGGCCACATAAGTGTCTTCTTTTGAAAAGTGTCTGTTCATATATTTCCCCCATTTTTTGATAGGTTTGTTTTTTCTTGTATATTTGTTTTAGTTCTTTGTAGATTCTGGATATTAACCCTTTGTCAGATGGGTAGCTTTCAAAATTTTTTTCCCTTTCTGTTGGTTGCTGGTTCACTCTGATTGTTTCTTTTGCTGTACAGAAGCTATTAAGTATAATTAGATCCCCTTTGTCTATTTTGGCTTTTGTTGCCATTGCTTTTGGTGTTTTAGTCATGAAGTCCTTGCCTATGCCTATGTACTGAATGATATTGTCTAAGTTTTCTTCTAGGGTTTTTATGGTGTTAGGTCTTATGTTTAAATCTTTAATCCATCTATCCAGTCTACAATTAATGGGGATTTGGATTGGTTCCAAGACTTTGCTATTGTAAATAGTGCTGGTATAAACATATGTGTGCATGTGTTTTTATAGTAGAATGATTTATAATCTTTTAGGTATGTATATTCAGTAATGGGATTGCTTGTTCAAATGGTATTTCTGGTTTTAGATCCTTGAGGAATTGCCACACTGTCTTCCACAATGGTTGAATTATTTTACACTCTCACAAACAGTGTAAAAACATTTTGATTTCTCCACATCCTTGCCAGCATCTGTTGTTACCTGACTTTTTAATGATCTTCATTCTAACTGGCGTGAGATGGTATCTCCTTTTGGTTCTGGTTTGTGTTTCACTAATGACCAGTGATGTAAGCTTTTTTTTTTTCCATATATTTGTTGACCACATAAATTTCTTCTTTTGAGAATTGTTTGTTCATATCCTTTGCCCAATTTGATGGGGTTGTTGTTTTTTTATTGCAAATTTATTTAAGCTACTTGTAGATTCTGGATATTAGACCTGTGTCAGATGAATAGCTTACAAAAATTTTCTCCCATTCTGTAGGTTTCCTGTTCATTCTGGTGAATTTTTCTTTTGCTGTGCTGAAGCTCTTTAGTTTGATTAGATCCCATTTGTCAATTTTGGGTTTTGTTGCCATTGCTTTTGGTGTTTTATTCATGAAGTTTTTGCCCATGCCTATGTACTGAATGGTATTGCCTATGTTTTCTTCTAGGGTTTTTATGGTTTTGAGTTTTACACTTAAGTCTTTAATCCATCTTGACATAATTTTTGTATAAGGTGTAAGGAAGGGGTCCAGTTTCTGTTTTCGACATATGGCTAGCCAGTTCTCCCAGCACCATTTCTTAAATAGGGAATCCTTTTTCCATTGCTTGTTTATGTTAGGTTTGTTGAAGATCAGATGGTTGTAGATGTGTGATGTTATTTTTGAGGTCTCTGTTCTATTTCATGGTTCTATACATCTGTTTTGGTACCAGTACAATGCTAGTTTGGTTACTGTAGACTTGTAGTAGAGTTTGAAGTCAGATAGTGTGACACCTCCAGCTTTGTTCTTTTTGCTTATCATTGCCTTGGCTGTATGAGATTTTTTTTGTTTTTTTTTTTTTGCTACTACATGAATTTGAAAGTAGATTTTTCTAATTCTGTGAAGAAAGTCAATGATAGCTTGATGGAAATGGCATTGAATCTGTAAATTGGCTTGGGCAGTAGGGCCGTTTTCACGAAATTGATTCTTTTTATCTATGAGCATGGATTTTTTTTCCATTTGTTTGTGTCCTCTCATTTTCTTGAACAGTGATTTGTTGTTCTCTTTGAAGAGGTCTTTCATGCCCCTTGTAAGCTGTATTCCTAGGTACTTTAATCTCTTAGTAACCATTGTCAATGAAACTTCACTCTTGATTTGACCCTCTGCTTATCTATTGTTGGTTTATAGGAATGCTTGCAATTTTTGTACATTAATTTTGTATCCTGAGAATTTGCTGAAATTATTTAGTAGCTTAAGGAGATGTTGAGCTGAAATGATGAGGTCTTCTAAATACACAATCATGTCATCTGCAAATAGAGACAACTTGACTTCCTCTTTCCCTAATCTAATACCCTTTATTTCTTTCTCTTGCCTGATTGTCCTGGCAAGGACTCCCAATACTATGTTGAATATGAGTAGTGACAGAGAGCATCCCTGTCTTGTGCCAGTTTTTGAAGGGAATGCTTCCAGCTTTTGCCCATTCACTATGATATTGGCTATGGGTTTGGCACGAATAGCACTTATTATTTTGAGATATGTTCTATTAATACATGGTTTATTGAGAGTTTTTAGCATGAAGGGGTGTTGAATTTTATCAAAGGCTTTTCTTCATCTAATGAGATAATCATCTGGTTTCTATCATTGGTTCTGTTTATGTGATGGATTACATTTATTGATTTGTGTGTGTTGAACCAGCCTTGCATCCCAGGAATAAAGCTGATTTGATTGTGATGAATAAGATTTTTGATATGCTGCTGGATTTCGCTTGCCAGTCTCTTATTGAGAATTATCACATCGATGTTCATCAGGGATATTGGCCTTAAATTTTTGTTCTGTATGTGTGTGTCTGCCAGGTTTTGGTATCACGATGATGCTGGACTCATAAAATGGGTTATGGAGAAATCCTTCCTTTTCTATTGTTTACAATAGCTTCAGAAGGAATAGTACCATCTCCTTTTTGTATCTCTGGTAGAATTCAGCTGTGAATCCATCCAGTTCTGGGCTTCTTTTGCTTGGTAGGCTAACTACTGCCTCAACTTCAGAAATTTTTATTGGTCTATTCAGAGATTCAACTTTTTTCTGTTTTAGTCTTTGGAGGGTGTACATGTCTAAGAGTTTATCTATTTTTTTTCTAGATTTTCTAGTTTATTTGCATCAAGGTGTTTATAGTATTCTCTGATGGTAGTGTGTACTTCTGTGGGATCAGTGGTGATATTTCCTTTATCATTTTTGATTATGTCTATTTGATTCTTCTCTCTGTTTTCTTCTTTGTTAGTATAGCTAGTGGTCCATCCAATTTGGTAATCTTTTCAAAAAACCAGCTCCCAGGTTCATTGATTACTTGAAGGGTTTTTTTGTGTCTCTATCTCCTTCACTTCTATTCTAATCTTAGTTATTTCTTGTCTTCTGCTCACTTTTGAATTGGTTTGCTCTTGCTTCTCTAGTTATTTTAATTATTATGTTATAGTGTCAATTTTAGATCCTTCCCATTTTCTGAGGTGGACATTTATTGCAGTTAATTTTTCACTTAACACAGATTTAGCCATGTGCCAGAGATTTTCATACATTGGCTCTTTGTTCTCATTGATTTCAAAGAACATTTTATTTCTGCATTCATTTTGTTATTTACACAGCAGCCATTCAGGAGCAGATTGTTCAGTTTCCAAGTAGTTGTGCAGTTTTGAGTGGGTTTCCTAATCCTGAGTTCTAATTTGAACAATGAGAACAAATGAACAAAGGGAGGGGAGCATCACACACTGGAATCTGTGCAGGGGAACTAGGGGAGGGCCAGTCGGGGGTGGAGAGTTGAGGAGGGATAACATGGGGAGAAATGCCAGATATAGGTGATGGGGAGGAAGTCAGCAAACCACATTGCCATGTATGTACCTATGTAACAATCTTGCATATTCTTCACATGTACCTCAAAATCTAAAATGCAATAAAATATACAAATAAATAAATAAAAGTAAAGCACTTTTCAAAGAGCTTGAAACATAATAATGACCTATTTTAAATATAACACTTAGATTTAAGTCAGTAAATCTCTGTATACATCAGTTTCAACAAAGGTAAAGGAGAAAGTCATTGTTTAAAGGTTCTATTATTATGAAAAAAAAAAAAAAACAGAAAGAAAAAAAACCAAAAAACCTCTAACATTTTGCTGACAGATAATCTCTCTCACAAACAGTGAATATCATTAAACAAGAAAGAAAATCACAAAATTACAGTTTTGAACAAGACAGGTTTCATTTAACAAAATAAGTTGTTAAGTTGCCAAAATAAAAGAGTTTGAACATTTATAATCAGATAAGCTGGAATGTCAAAATTGTAGCTTGAAAATGACATCAGAAAAGATTAAATATTTTTCTCTTTGCTGATGAGGAGGCTGAGAACCACAGAAGTTAACTGACAACTAGTTAGTGACAGAGGTAGGACTTCTGAATCTCTGTGACATTATTCTTTCCACTATATCAAATCTCTTAATTTACCTTACTAGTTATCTACAATTTTGTCAGAAATTAAAGATAGTGGAAATAATTTAATCCATAGGATTTTAGACCATTGGATGATGTTTTATTTTGTAAGATATATAAAATTGGATAAAGTAGTTTGTGTTTTTTAACCTGAAATTTTGCCTTTCCCAGTACTATAAGGATCATTACTGGATTTACATGGCCCTTATATTTTATCCCTTAAAAATAAGCTTGATATATTTACTTAAATAATTCACCTCTTGGTAGATATTTTAGTGAAGTCTAGAGTCCAATCACTCTGTAGTATTGAAATTGGATTGGACTTTGTGGAGTTTAGCATCTTTTGAGTGTTTACTTGGAACATTCTGAAGCAGCAATTAAAATAATTAAGGAGGGTGAAGAAATCTTTAGCATGCAACAAAGATTTCTGCAAAATGTTAATTTCTGTCAAATAAGTGAATCTAGGCACAGATGCCTCCTGACAGAGGCTGTGATTTCAAAATGCTTTGCATGCCAAATAACTTGTTTACCCCTTCAATGTTTGCCAAGTTTACTGTCAGTTTACAAATAATTTCCATTTTGCTGTTTATTCCACTGCCTTTTGATAGATACGTCTTCCAGACTTTTATCTTGCATGTAGACAAACTAATTAATATTTTCCCTTCAGGCAAATATTTTTTTCTTAGATCTAAATGTGGGTTAGATTCATCTTCATTTCCATATGCTTTGTTCTGTCAATCATCTATGTTTTGTGTTGCTAAAAATATAGTTCAGTGGATGTAATTTTCCATGTTGTACTACACACACACACACACACACACACACACACACACAACTTATCAACTTATTTTTCAGTGTATACATTTAGACATATAACATCGATGCTATTGGAAAAGTCATTTTTGTAGTAATATGAAAACTTGAGAAATCAACTTTCAGAATAGGAAATATTATACTTAAAATCAGCTTGTGGAACCTTTATCACTCTATTAATCTTGGCCATTTATGTACTGAAACTTGAACCACCCCACTTCACTGAGGCTCCAAATCAAAATTATGTAATGTCTCTTAATATGTGTGCTTATTTATAAGCATCCTTAAAAATGAAAACAGAATCATGTACAAACACAGATAAGTCCTTAAGGTAGAGAAGAACAGAATTTATGCCACTTGAAAACATTTAGCCAAACATGAAATGGTGAAATAACTTTTTCTTTTTTATTTCCAAATTTTATTTTGGTTTTACAGGGTACAGGCATAGGTTTATTATATGGGTAAATTAGTGTTGCAGGGGTTTTCTGTACAAATTATTTTGTCACCCAGGTTGTGCAAACAGTAGACAATAGGCAGTTTTTTAATCCTTGCTCTCTTCCCCTCTTTACCCTCAAGAGAGTTCTGCTGTCTCTTGCTCTCTTCTTTGTCTCCACATGTACTCAATATGTAACTCCCACTTATAAGTGGTAATATGTGGTATTTGTTTCCCTGTTCCTGTGTTAGTTTGCTTATAATGGCCTCCAGCTCCATTCATGTTGCTGCAGAGGACACAATTTCATTGTTTTTTGTGGCTGCATAGTATTCCATGGTGTATATTTACCAAATTTTCTTTTTTTAATTTTTAAAAATTTTTAATAAACACATAGTAGGTATATATGTCATAGAGTACATGTGATACATTAATACAGATATAAAATAAGCAATAATCACATCATGAAAATGGGGTATCCATCCCCTCTAGCATTTATCCTTTGTGTTATAAACAATACAATTACATTCTTTTAGTCATTTTAAAATTTACAATTAAGATATTACTGACTACAGTCACTCTGTTGTGCTATCAAATAGTATGTCTTTTTCATTCTTTCTATTTTTTTCTACACGTTAATCATTCCTACCTCCCCTACAGCCCCTCATTATCCTCAGCCTCTGGTTAGCAATCCTATTCTCAATCTTCATAAATTCATGTGTTTTGATTTTTAGCACTCACAAATAAGTGAAAACATAAGGAGTTTGTCTTTCTGTGACATGATGACCTCCAGTTTCATCCATGTTTTTGCAAATAATGAATATCATTATTTTATTTTTTATAACTGCATGATACTTCATTGTGCATATGTAGCATCTTTTCTTTGCCTAGTACACCACTGATGAGCATCTAGGCTAATTTAATGTCTTGGTTATAATGAACAGTGCTGTGATGAACAGACTCATGCAAATGTATTTATGGTAGAGAAATTTATATTCATTTGGTTATATATCCAGTAAGAGAATTCCTGGATCAAATTGCAGTTCTGTTTTAAGTTATAATTGAATACATTTTCTATGTGTAAAAATCTACTAGCTCTAAAACAGTTTTTAATTTTTTTTCTTTCAAACTTTTATATTACAGTCACGATTACGTGTGCAGGATTGATACATTGGTAAATTGTGTCATTGGGTTTTGGTCACCCAGGTGATCAGTGGAGTACCTGGTAGGTAGTTTTTCAATCCTCACCATCCATCCAACTTCCACCCACAAGTAGGATCTGGCGTCTATTGTTCCCTTCTTTCTGTCCATGTGTGCTCAATGTTTAGCTTACACTTATATGTGAGAGCATGTATTTTATGTTTCTGCATTAATTTGCTTAGGAAAATAGTCCCCAGATTCATCCATACTGTTGCAAAGTGCATTCTTTCATTCTTTATTATGGTGAGGTAGGGCTCCAAGGTGAATATGTACCACATTTTCTTTATCCATTCCACTATTGATGGGCATCTAGGTTTATTCCATGACTTTACTCTTGTGAATGGTGCTGCCATGAAGATAGGCATGCAAGTGTCTTCATGGTAGAACTATTTGTATTCCTCTGGGTATACACCCAATAATGAAATTGCTTAGGCTTTTTAAGTTCTGTATTTTAAGTTCTTTGAGAAATTGCCAGACTGCTTTCTACAGTGGCTGATCTAATTTACATTCCCACTAGCAGAGCATAACTGTTTTCCTCTCCACAACCTAGCCATTATCTCTTGGTTTTTGACTCTAGTAGTAGCCATTCTGTCTGCTTCCAAATCAGATCTCATTGTGGTTTTGTTTGCATTTTCCTAATGATTACTGATATTGACATTTTTTTCATATACTTGTTGGCTTCTTTTTATAATGTTCTCTTCATGTTCTTAGTCCATTTATTAGTTAGCTTGTTTAGCTTTGCTTATTGACTTATTTAAATTTCTTGTAGAATATGGACATTAGACCTTAGTCAAATGCATAGTTTGCAATATTTTATCCAATTATGTAGGTTGTCTGTTTATAGTCTATCTGTCTATAGTTTCTTTTGCTATGCAGATTCTCTTTAATTTTGTCTCACTTGTTAATTTTTGAGTTAGTTGAATTTGCTTTCGGCATCTTTCTCATGAAGTGTTTGCCAGAGCTGATTTCCAGAGTGGTAGTTCCTAGGTTGGCTTGTGGAGTTTTTATAGGTTTAGGTTTTACGTTAGCATTTGATCAGTCTTGCATTTATTTTTGTATACAGTGAAAGGAGGGGCTCCAGTTTTAATCTTCTGCTAGCCAGTTATCCCAGCACAATTTATTGAATAGGGACTTTTTACTCATGGTTTATTATTGTCAGCTTCTTGAGGATCAGATTATTTTAGGTGTGTGGCTTTATTTCTCAGTTCCCTAAACTCTTGCATTGGTGTATATGTCTGTTTTTGTACTAGTACCTTGCTGTTTTGGTTAGTGTAGCCTTGTAATATCATTTTAAGTCACATAGATTTCTTTGGCTATTTGGGCCCTTTATTGGCTCCATATGGATTTGACAATACGTTTTTATAATTATGTGACAAACGTCATTGGTAATTTGATAGGAACAGCATTGAATCTGTAAATTATTTTGGGCAGTATGGCCATTTTAACTATATTAGTTATTCCTATTCATAAGCATGGAATGTTTTTCCATTTATTTGTGCCATGTCTTATTTATTTATTTATTGCAGTGTTCTATAATTCTTGTTGTAGAGAATTTTGACCTCTGTAGTGAGGTATTTCATTCTTTTTGTGGCTATTGTGAGCAGGTCTGCCTTCTTGATTTGACTCTCAAATTAGATGTTATTGGTGTGTAGAAATGTTATTAATTTTTCAAAATAGATTTTGTATCCTGAAACTATGCTGAAACAGTTTATCAGGTTTACAAGCCTTTGGACAGAGACTGTGGGGTTTTCTTTCTGCCAAATTATATCATCTATCAAGAGAGATATTTTGACTTCTTCTATTTCTATTTGGATTCCTTTTATTTCATTCTCTTGCCTGATGGCTCTGGCTAGGATTTCCAGTCTTGGGTTGAATAGCAGTAGTGAAAGTGGACTTCCTTTTCTTGTTCTGGTTCTCAATGGGACTTCTTCCAGCTTTTGATCATTCTGTATGTTTTCTGTGGGTTGCCATGGATTTCTCTTAATATTTTAAGGCATGTTCCTTCAATGCCTAGTTTGATGAGGATTTTTAACATTAAGGGATATTGAGTTTTATCAGAAGTCTTTTCTGTATCTATTGAGATGATCATAGGATTTTTGGTTTAGTTCTGTTTATGGGTGAATCTCATTTACTGATTTACGTATGTCCAACGAAACTTGCATCCCAATGACAATGCTTATTTCATCATGGTGGATTAGCTTTTTGATGTGTTAATGAAATTGAGTTTGCAGTATTGTGTTGAGAATATTTGTATCTATGTTTCTTAGGAATATTGGCCTAAAGATTTTTTTGCTTTTGTTTTTGTTGTTGTTGTGTCCTTGTCAGTATTGGTATCACAGTGATGCTGATCTCATAGATTGAGCAATGAAGGAGTCCCTACTTCTCAGTCTTTTGGAATAGTTTCAGTAGAATTGGTTTCAGCTCTTCTTTATACATTTTGTTTAATTCAGCTGTGAATTCATTTGCTTAAGTCCTTTTTCTGGTTTGTAGGCTTTTTATTACTGATTCAATTCAAAAACTCATTGTTCAGTTCAGGATTTCAGTTTCTTCCTGATTCAAACTTGGGAGGTTTTACATTTCCAGAAATTTATCCATTTTTTTCTACATTTTGTAGTTTGTGTACATGAAGGTATTCATAATAGTCTTTGAGGGATTTTTGTATTTTTCTAGGGTTGTGAGTAATGGGTAATGTCCCTTTTGTCATTTCTGATTGTGTTTATTTGAATCTAGCTAGTGGCCTATCAGTCTTATTTATTTTTTTGAAGAACATACTTTTGTTTTAGTTGATCTTTTGCATGATTTTTTCTCATCTCCCATTTAGTTTTGCTCTTGTTATGGTTATTTATTTTCTTCTGCTAGCTTTGGGGCTGGATTGTTCTTGTTTTTCTAGCTCAGGGTAGGCTATTGGGTCATTAATTTTTGATATTTCTAACTTTTTCATGTATGTATTTATCACTATAACTGTGCCTCTTAATATGTTAGCTGTGTTCTATACTTTCTGGTATGTTGCTTCTTTGTTTTCATCATTTTCAAAGAATTTCTTATTTCTTAGTTTAATTGTTTCCCCAAAAATCATTCAAAAACAGACTGTGTAATTGTATAATTTTGAGAGACCTTCTTAACACTGATTTTTTTTTTTTTTGAGACAGATTTTCACTCTTGTCTCCCAGTGGGGAGCACAATGGCACAATCTCAGCTTGCTGCAATCTCTGCCTCCCGGGTTCAGGCTATTCTCCTGCCTCAGACTCCCAAGTAGCTGGGATTATAGGCATGTGCCATCACACCTGGCTGTTATCATAATTTTGTTTTTTAAGTAGAGACAGAGTTTCACCACGTTGCCTAGGCTGGTCTTGAACTCCTGACCTCAGGTGATACACCCCCAATGGGTTCCCAAAGTACTGGGATTACAGGAGTGAACCACCATGCCCATCCTGATTTTTATTTTTTATTTCATTGAAATTCTGGTTGATATTGTTTTGGTTTTCTTTTACATTTGTTCAGAATAGCTTTATTTCCAAACGTGTGGTCAATTTTAGATTATGTGTCATGTGCAGAAGAGAAAAATATATATTCTGTTGTTGTTAGGTGGAGTGTTCTGTAGCTGTCTCTTTGGTCTATTTGGTCAAGTGCCAAGTTTAGCTCCTGAATATATTTTGTTAGTTTTTTGTCTCCATGATCTGTATTATAGAGGCAAAATGAGGGGTAATGTCTCTAGGGGTCAGAGGGATGATGAAGTCTCCCACTATTATTGTGTAGTTTTCAAATTTTCTTTGGAAGTCTCTATGAACTTGTTTCATAAATCTCAGTTTTCTAGTGTTGTTTGCATATTTATTTGAAATAATTAAATCTTCTTGTTGAATTGCATTACCTACCATGATGTAACGCTCTTCTTTTTCCTTTTTGATTGTTGGTTTAAATGCTATTTTGTCTGAAATAATAATAGCAAATCTACCCATTTTTTTTCCCATTTACTTGATAGATCTTTCTCTAGCCCTTTACTTAGAGACTAGGGGTGTCCTTGCATGAGAGAGATATCTTTGGAAGAAAGCATACAGTTGAGTCTTGCTTCTTTCCTGAACGTGTGACTTTGTGCCTTATAAATGGGGGATTTAGCCTATTTACTTTCAAGGTTAATATGAGTATTTGCAAATTTGATTTTGTTATGTTTTTAGCTGGTTGTTATGTAGACTTGATTGTATAGTTGCTTTATAGTGTCAATGGTCTATGTACTTACATGAACTTCTGTGTTGGCCAGTAATGGGTTTTCCCTTAGAACTCCCTAAAGAACCTCTAGTAAGAAATATCAGGTGGTAACAATTTCCATTAGCATTTGTTTCTCCATTGATTATGAATCATAGTTTGACTGAACATAAAATCCTTGGTTGAAAATTGTTTTTCTTCTTAGAATGCTGACCACCGGTTCTTGATCTCTTCTGACTTGTAAAATTTCTGCTGAAAAGTCTGCTGCCAGCTTGATGGGATTCCTTTTGTAGTTAACCTTCCACTTCCCTCCAGTTGCCTTTAATATTATTTTCTCTTGCATTGACCTTGTAAAAATCTAATTACTATGTGTCTTGGGGATAGTCATCTTGTATACTATCTTGCAAGGCTTCTTCAAATTTCCCAAATTTGAATGTCAGCCTGTCCAGCAAAGCTGGGAAAAATTTTGTGTACAAAATTCTCAAATATGTTCTCTGAGCACCTTGCTCTCTCTCTTTCTCTTTCAGAGATAACAATGAATTATATGTTTTGTCTCCTTACCTAATCCCATATTTCTCAGAGGTTTTCTTAATTTTTTAAATTTTTTTTCTCTTTATTTTTGTCTGACTGAGTTCATTCAAAGAACTGGGCTTGGAGCTCTGAAATTCTTTTCTCAGGCTGGTCTATTCATCTCTGAAATTTTGATAGTTTTTCAGCTCTATCAAATCAGTTTAGTTCTTTCTTAAAATGGCTAGTCTTTCATCTATTAAATTGTTTTACTGGATTCCATAGATTCCTTGCATTGGATTTTAACTTTCTCCTGAATCTTTATGATCTCCATTGCCATTCAGATTCTGAAATCTGTAACAGTCATTTAAGCTATTTCAATCTGATTCAGAACAATTGTTGGGAACTAGTGTAGAAATTTGCAAGTATAAAGACACTCGATTTTAGAGTTGCCACAGCTCTTGCACTGTTTTTTTTTTTTCTTTTCATCTCTGTGTGTTGCTGTTTCTTTACCTGTGCTGTAATTTGAGTATATTCAATTGGCTTCATTTGTGAATGTTTTTAGAGAGCCAAGGATTTGGGAGTTGGTATTTAATTGTGGCTGAATTGTTGTTCTTGGATTCAAAGGGGTGTACATTAGCACATTTGATTTTGCATGAAAATGCTCTGGGACTGTGCATTCCTCTCCCACCCAAGTTCTGGCCACCAATCTTGGCTTGACACTACCAGACTATGCACCACAGAGCTGGACGTTTTGTCCCCTCCCCAGCTTTGGGACAGTGGAGGTGGGATTCTTGGCAGTGGTAATGTAAGAGGGTCTTTCACTTGTCTCTGGGGGGCTCCACACCAGAGAAATGCTGAGCTGCTGCCAATCAGAATGATTATACAGGGGCAGCTGTATTGTGGGCCCAAGACTTTCAACCCTGCCTGGTGAACAGCATGTGTGGCAGTGGACTTATGAGAAAGACAGTTTGGTCTCTTCTCTGTAGGGTGGCTCTGACATGGTGGGGGTACAAGTAAAGCACTGGCACTGAAGCTCTTTGTGGCATTCCCAGCCTGGTGGCAGTGGTAGAGTGGTTGCCAGCAGCTTCTGAGAACTCCTCTTTAAAGAGAAATAGATCCACTGCCAATGATAATATTCAGCAAGTAGTGGAGATGCTCTGCTATAGGCCTAAGTTGGGCATACTGCCTGGTATAAGGCAGGGCATCAGTGGCTCACAGAGAAGGGAGACTGACCCCTTATCCATATGGCAGCTGCAGTGTGCTGGACGTGCAAAGAAAATGATCAAGGTCTTTGTTGCTCTCCAACCCAAGGAAAGCAAAGTAGTAGTAATAGTGGAAGGATCAGTTCCCAGGGATGGAACTTCCAGGGTCAGTTGCCCCTAGAACTTTATCCCAGAGTGACACAGAGCTCCCTCCAAGGAAAATGTTCAGCCAAGGTGAGGCAGCTGCAGTGTGGACCCAAGCTGGGCACATATGCAGCTTTGTTTCTTGTGTGGAAAACAGTGTGGCTGCTTTTTCATATGGCAGCTATGGTGTGCTGAAAGTGTCCTACAATAATAATTCTTGTTCTCTTCATTACTTCCCTAGCCTGTCAGCAGTAGACTGGAGCAATGGCAATAGCTTAGTTATCTGTTGGCAATGTCAGTTATCTCTGGGAGCTCTTTCTCAGAGAAATGCAGAACTGCAACTGGCCCAAGTGCTCCATTGGGGATGGTGGCTATGCTTGGGTTCCAGGCCAATTGACTGTGCTTGGTGAAGTTCAGCAAAGGCAAGACCTTGAGTCTGTCTGCTCCTCAACACAATTGATTTGGCCCCTCTTTTGGGGGCATTTGAGAAAGCCTATCATCCCTTGTTGGTGGGGCTACGACACCTGGGATGCTCAAGGATGCAAGATTTTGGGGGTTCCACGTGGGCCTGAGTAATGTCTCTGTCCAGAATACACACTGCTCTCCATTTTCATTTGGAGACCACAGAGACAGAGGCAGGAGGATCTTTTGCACCCGGGATTCAAAGGTCCATGGAAGAAGTGTGTGATTCCTAGGGGCTCTTGCTCAATCACCCTTTTTCATGGTGGGGATTTTCCTTAGGGTATGTGCCAATCCTAGGTGGGCAGCTGCCCTGACTCACTCCTCTCTCCATGTGTCATGTTGCTTCCTTAATGAATCCCAACGTGTCCTCCTGCATAATCCAGTTGAAGAGGTAGTGTTTACTGGCCGTTTGTTTCCTCTGTGACAGCAGAATACACTAGCTGCTTTTAGTCAGCATCTTGACACTTCCCCAGAGCTATTATTTTAATGTGAAGAGCTTATGTGTTTGTGTATGTGCAAATGCCTGACGTGGATTTTTATAAGTGACATAAATATCTAAGTAAGGGTGTTGCACATAAAGATATATATGAAGAAAAATCATATATTATTTGATTACCTCTTCTTTTAACATGTTTTGCAAGCTTGTAAAATAAATAAGCCAAAAAAGAATTCCTAATTTGAATTTTTGCTTAATTTAGAATAATATGTAGAGAGACCATATTTGAAAATCTGGTCTCTCTGCAAAATATTCTAAATTATGCAAAAATCCAAATTTATTTCCTTATGTAAAATTTACATAAATAGTAAATATAAAGCATCTAATGTTATTTCTTATGAACATTGTCGCATTACCACCACCAGTTAAATTTCAGGAAATAAAACTATGGGATCCTGAAAATTCAAATGTAGCAGCTGCACAAATTAACATAACTCTTCAGCAGGTGCCAAGAAATTTGCTCATTTATACTGCAAAGAAAAATACCAATAAGACATAACCAGACAGTCTTGAGATGGACTACAGTGAAAAGAAATTACTAGGTAGTAATCTGCAGACAACCATTCTCTTTTATTTTATCTTTGTATTTCCTCTTAGTTTCTGGACTGGTTAAATCTAGATAAAAGGAGAAGAGACACCTCAAATGTAGTAATGTACATTTCTGGTGTGGCTCAGAGCAGCAAAAGCTATAGAGTGTAACCGGAAGTATCAGATTTTTGACATATCCTATCAGAATCCTGAAGTTTGAGAATCACTTGCTAGATAAAGAAAAAGCACTGATTTAAGATTACAGAATAACATTTCTAGAAAAGAGGAAAAAAAAACTTCTTTTTAAGTATTTATTTTTTTTACTGCATTTTAGGTTTTGGGGTACATGTGAAGAACATGTAAGATTGTCACATAGCTACACACATGGCAGTGTGGTTTGCTGCCTTCCACCCCATCACCTATATCTGTCATTCCTCCCCATGTTATCCCTCCACTACCTTCCCACCCCCTACTGTTCCTCCCCTATTCCCCCCCCACACCGGCCCCAGTGTGTGATGCTCCCCTCCTTGTGTCCATGTGTTCTCATTGTTTAACACCTGCCTATAAGTGAGAATATGCGGTGTTTGATTTTCTGCTCTTGTGTCAGTTTGCTGAGAATGATGGTTTCCAGGTTCATCCATGTCCCTACAAAGGACATGAACTCATCGTTTTTTATGGCTGCATAGTATTCCATGGTGTATATGTGACACATTTTCCCTGTCCAGTCTATCATCTATGGGTATTTGGGTTGGTTCCAAGTCTTTGCAATTGTAAACAGTGCCGCAATGAACATTCGTGTGCATGTGTCCTTATAATAGAACGATTTAAAATCCTTTGGCTATACACCCAGTAATGGGATTGCTGGGTCAAATGGTATTTCTATTTCTAGGTCCTTGAGGAATCGGCACACTGTTTTCCACAATGGTTGAATTAATTTACACTTTAACTATTTTCTAAGGGATCAATTATTTTTGCTCGGAGGTTAAGACAGATAATCTTAATTCAGAATAAAAGAAAGAATTTCAGGTCAAGATACAAGAAATCAGTCAGCAAGCCTAATTACCAACAGATGCCAAGCCTAAACAATAAGCTATTATAAAAGAAATAAATTATTCTGTTTAATTTATGTGTGTCACATATTGATTATGTGAAGTGCCAGGATGCTGCTTTTACAGGCTTTCAGATATCCTGTACTTACTCTCTCACAGTTGCTTTTGACTGTTTTTCTTTAGAAACAAATGACATAGTTCTTGTAGCATAACCATTTCTGTGCACCCAGGATAACATGCAACTACCAACAAGTTTTCTTAGACTCTTGCCTATTTTATTGTTACTTGTAGAAAAAAAAACCCTATATCATAATAAGAATAGCTAATGCTTATATAGCACTTACTATGTGCCAGGACTGTTACAAATATTTCCAATATATTAAGCATCACAACACTTCTATGAAGTGGTACTACCGTTAGCACTGTTTTACAGATAACATAGTCAAGGCTCAGAGGGAGTAAGTAAACTCCCCAAAGTCATTTTTAGTAAGAATTAGAAACAGTATTCAGAGTGATTTTCATTTCAACACATTTTATTCTGCACTAAACAGCCAATCTAAATACTTTGGAATAAAAGAGTGTGGAAATATTACTATAAGGCTAAACACTTAAATTTTATAAAAGGGCAATACTTTATAAATATTGACAGTTTGTCAGTAACTGATAACAGCTTATT